GTGTGTGTGCGTGTGTGTGTGTGTGTGTGTGTGTGTGTGTGTGTGCGCGTGTGTGTGTGTGTCATTAGCTCCTTAGCTAAAATAGGCCTATGTTTTATGTTGTTACCTCCAGAGAAAAAATATATAATGTTAACTCCAGAGCGAATAACATTCATCCAGAGCTAATATATATGACATTAGTTCCAGAGCTAACATATTATACATTATATATAATAATGTGGGGGAAGCTGTGGCTGAGTGGTTTGAACAGTCGTCCTCCAGTGGGAGAGTTGGGGGTTCGACTCCACCAGCAGTCACATGCTGAAGTGTCCTTGGGAAAGACCCCTCTTTGCCTCCAATGTGTGTCCCATCAGTGTCAAAATGTGATCTAAAGCACTGGTTATTCTTTGTAGCGTGCTGTGTGAATGGGTAAATGAGGGCACAGATTGTAGTGTAAAGAGTTTTGAGTATCTTGATAAGATTGAAAGGTGCTGTATAAATAAATTCCATGTACTAATTACCATTGTTTCCACCCATATATTGTTCATAAGGACTGCTACAAAATATAACTTTATTGTCACAGTTTATACATTTTTAGCGTTGACTTCACGTGCTTTAGTCTCCATTACTGTACAACCGATGAACGGCATCGCCCCAGAATGTATTGCTCCGGTTAAAGAATAGCAACATCCTTAGGTGAAAAATATAATAAATATATATCATATTTAAGTAATTAGGAGTTTCCACTTGTCACACAAAACAACTTTTAGTAGAATAGAGAAATAACAACATATTAATGCTGATAAGTGCAGACAATCAAAGATCCCTTTTAGAACATGTCAGTCCTTCAAAAAACAAACATCATCTGCCGTTTTGCATGTCTAGGTTTTATACAAAAATATCCCATGATCTCTTAGAGCTCAGAGTGTGTGTGGGGCCAAACTCTCTGCTACTACCACACCAAGTTTTTGCTCAAAAGTTGTAAAGTAAATTAAAGGAGGTTACTTGTAATGTAAAGTATGAAATAAATGAGGTAACCATGTTTTACTCAATTAACTCCAAAAGATCATCATTTGTAGATGAACATTTAAGGATTTTTTTCTCTCAGATTTTTAATAAAAATCCAAGTTCTTTAAATGTAAATGTCTATAACCGTTAGTTCATGCCAGGACAGTATTTGGTGACATCAGCAGCTTTACAGACAGCTGTGGGATTCCTCCTGTCCTCAATAGGAAGCGTAACTTGGTTCTGGACTGTAAATGGAATGGTATGCAGTGCCATGAGGGAACCATTGGTCCCATCCAACAGTAGAATAACTGGGTGGCTGTTTCCCAAACTCCTGTTTACACAGAGAACTTTTCTGTTTTCATCTGTCACTGCAACAAGTTGCAGACATGCAGAGGTTGCAGACGTCATCATCAGAGTTTCAGAGTTTCCTTCAACCTAAAACCTGTTTGTTTTGTCCATTAAAATGCATCAACAGTGGAATAAAAAGTCAAACAAATTGAACATTTATGTTCTGAAAGTAAAAACAGGAGGGCAGCACGGTGGCGCAACTGGTAGAGCTGCTGCCTCTCAGCGAGCAGGTCCCTGGTTCAAACCCCGGTCCAGGGGCCTTTCTGGGTGGAGTTTGCATGTTCTCTCCGTGCATGCGTGGGTTTTCTCCGGGTGCTCCGGTTTCCTCCCACAGACCAAAAACATGCATGTTAGGCTGATTGGTAACTCTAAATTGTCCCTAGGTGTGAGTGAGAGAGTGAATGGTTGTTTGTCTCGTTTGTCTCTATGTGGCCCTGTGATGGACTTGCGACCCGTCCAGGGTGTACCCCGCCCCTCGCACAGTGATTGCTGGACAAG